AATTGAAGGGCTAGCCTAGGCTTCCCATACTTATAAGATCTGAGAAGGACCTTGATCCCGTGGGCCATCGGAGGAGGAGACCCAAAGTAGGATATATCAAATCCAGTTGATGTAATCTTTTTTTTGTTTTGAAGAAGTTAATTGTTGTATTAAAAAGGAAAAGATTACAGTATACCATCGAGAGGGCCCAAAGGCCTGGCCTCTCGACAAAAAATAGGCTACCAAAGAGGAGCAAGATTACAGTATAAATGGGATACGGATTGACTGAACACCTCCGCTGAGATAGCAAAGGGAAGGGAGAAAGGGGTCCCCTTAGCAGAGACCCCTAGAGGAAGGAAAATAGCCCTTCGGAGATCGTACACCTTTTCCCAATCTATCTTGAATCTCAATCCCGATTTTTTAAGGAGGTGCCTAGAGTGCAAGCACTCGTGCGCCACCAGGACCTCATTTAGGAGATGCCTATCTTTGATAAAGTCACTCCGAGAGGGAGAAATCACGAAGGAGAGGACCTTTTCAGCCTAGAGGCCAAAACTTTGGATAATATCTTGTAGGTGGAGTTGACCAAGCTGTTGGTCTGAGTCCTTCAGCTCCTTTGCCCCTTTGATTTTGGGGACAAGAGCAATGAAGTTGGCATTGATAGCTTTGTGGAGGATACCTCAGTGGAAGAATTCTTTGAAGAAGCTTAGGAAGTCGATCTTGAAAGTATGCCAAAAAAATCTTAAAAGGGGCTATTGGGAATCCGTCCAGGCCAAGGGCTTTGTCTTTGTCGAGGCCCTCGATTGTTGTCGTAATCTCTATTTCAAAGAAGGGGCCTTGCAGCCACTGGACCCAATGGACGGGAGCAGTTAGGAACTGCAAGTCACCCATTCTAGGTCTGGGAACCGCTGGGGCAGAGTAAAGGCTGGAAAAAGGAAAGGATGGCTGATTCTATGTCAGGAGTTTTGGACTAGTTGAGGTAATCTTTTGGCACTTTACTTTCTGTTTTTTGTTCCCAATACAATTTACTTGCTATTGAAATAAAAGAGTTGTTTTTTTTGGAAATATGGCCTACCAAGGCCTAAATTACAGTAGTCTCTCATTCAGTGGGAGCGATTGAGAGATTGAAATCTTGGTGCCTTGCAAAATGGAGCCCAGATTCTTTTACCCCGGGTACGCATGAGGCATTGAGAGTTCACGTGTTGAAAAAGCAATTTCTCAAGGAGGTTTGAGGGTCATCTCCTAGTCAGGATTTTACAAGTTAGCCTCATGTTTAGTTGCGATCGACCAGGGCTTGGAGAATCCAAACAAGAAAAATAGAACCCGAGTACTTATTGAGTATTCGGCCTATATGGAATAGTCAAGATTTATGGGACATAAGTCCATATCCTGACATGCGACCATTACATGGCATGTGCATTTTCATTTCGTACATGAAGCCACTCTTCGAAATGCATTATCCGAGTTTGGAAGAGCCAGTGCACATGTCACCCCTGTAATTGAGTTAAATCATGTCCTACAGGGGTACACTTGTAATCCATTGAGAGCCGGATGATCGGAAGTTCTGACTCAGCGGCTTTGATATGGTCAATTATGTGTCTCTGCTTTACGTTGTGGAACATAGGTCTATTGGGTCGATCTGAGATTCGACGGAACATCATTCAAGACTAGCCCACTGAAGTACTCCGATACCTACAGTTATTAGCCTGAGATCTCACTATACCTTTTGTCTGATTTTATAATGATGAAAAAAACCTAATAATTGCTCGAAAATACTTTAAATATTTATTGTGAATTTTAGAGAACTTTCAGGAATTTTATTTGCTAAAAAAATGAGGTTTTCGAATTGTTTGACTCAAATTCCACTTTAGTCCTAACCTAGGGCTGCCACGTGGCACCCCATGCCTCACTCTACAAAGTCATTGGCTTTGATAAAGTAGAATATCTTCACATGTGTGAGCTTTGCCAATTACTTCTTTGCCTTTTACCCTTGGTGGTTATCTACTTTAATACATTATTAAAAAAGTAAGGGTGTTTTTGTAATGGCATATTGGACACAGTTAAAATAAAAATATGGGTCAAGGACAAAATGGTAAAGTGGCATAAGTTAGGGTTAGGGTGAGTGATAATGGTGTAAAATCTCATCCCTTCATCCTAGTGGTTGGATGGGGATGGGTGGCTAGGTACATTAGCCTCTCATGTTCCTTTGGATTAGTGCATCAAGGGTGTTGATTGAGTCCAAGGTTACACCCATGTTATAATAGCACATCATGAGATCTCAAACCCTAACTATCTCAACTCTTGAACCATTTTGGAAAATTTGTGCCCCTCTTTTTCTAGAGCTTTGTGAGAGAAAATTGAAGAGAGAGAGACCTCACGTTTTTTCTGTTTTTTTTTAAAAGGCTTTTGGAGTTCTATTGAATTTTTTTTTCTCATAAGTTCATATTCTTGGCATCTATAGTTGCTGGAGTTTTGAATTTACAAAAGTTTCATTGATCTTAGAAGTCCCATTTAATCATCTTCTTCATCATGCTTATTCATAGTGTAGTCCTTCATGAGTTATAACTTATATACATGAGAATCCATGATCATGTATAGTATCCATTGATTACTTTGCTTCCAATCCATCAACTACTTTAGTCTCAATGTGTTACTGAATTTCCAAAAGTTTTTCATCACGTTTTTACCTATGGGGGTTCATAATCTTTTCATACATGACTGTTTTGGTGATCCGAAGGACCATCATGTGTAGTTTGGTTATAACTCTCTTGCTCTTTATTCGATTCGATTCAATCTTTTTACATTCTGTTTTGGATGATAATGCCAGTGTGTTGAGATCTTAAGAAGTGATTTTAATGTGTGTAATTGCTTCACATTTGAATGAGACACTCATGTGAGATTGAACCACTTTTATACAATCCGAAGGGACAAAATTAAGTCCTTACAGGGCCCTATTGCGTGGCCGTGGCACAAGGGATTCGAAACATGGCTTCCCAATTTTAATTCGGCATTCTAATTCTTTGTTTAGTTGATTTTATTCCTAAGAATTTTGTTAGATTAGTTGTATGTTGTATTTAAGCTTTGGGACAGTTTATATAATTTGTGCTATGAAAGTGTAACTCATAAGCTAATCTTGCTTTATATGTAATTGCCCCATAAGGGGTTGGTATTTGATTTTATTTACAGCGGTTTTACTAGGCTAGAAATGGTTGTAATTGTTATTTCAAAGTATTGTAACTTATTCACTTAGCTTGGTTTTAAGCAAGTGGCTTGTTGAAGGTGTGCATTTTGGCTTGTTTTTTGGCTTAAAAATTTACTCTAGTCTTTGTATCCACTATCAGTTATAAGTGGCAGCAAGTGAGAATCTTTTTTGTTGTTCATCATGGTTTATTTTGAGTTTAGTTTATATCATTTGGACTTCTATAAGTGTTCTAGCTGGTGGACAAAAGAAATTTTTAAACCACATATTCCGTGCTAGTTCACCCTATCCAACTTTCGTTTCTCCCCTCTTTTTGGGTGGGTTGGATGGGAGGAGGAGTTGGTTTAGAGTATCCCCCTTCATCCTTTCTATCCCTCTTTGAGGGGGAAAATGGTCCATTTTGGCCCTTTCCCATTGGCATTTTCCACCCTCGGGGAAGGCTTTGCCTACGTGAGCCCCTAGATATTGTGCTCAGCACCAGCTAAGAGCAACTGATCACAGTCCAGGTGACCACTAACCGCCTAGGCCCTAGGTAGCCATTTTTGGAACGTTGCCACCTTTAACTTTGTGCTCGCTCGATTGCTGAGGACTTGCATATTCCAGCTGAGATCCCTCCTGCGATTTCTCTGGTGAGAAACAGTATGCCACTGCTCTTGTTGGTGGTCATTATCCTTTGGAGTGATCCCTAGGTCTCCATTTTGTGGGCTAATGTGACTTTGTAGTTGAATCGCTGAAGCACTAAGGAGATGAATTTCCGATCGAGGTTGAATCCAAAGTTTCTAACAGAATTTGCAAGACTCCAATGGAAAAAAATCTAACTGATTTTCAGTTTACAGGGATGAACTCCCTGCTTGCCTTCTCTATCTCCTTGAAAACTTTGAAGGACCAAGTGTCATTGGGGATCCCTGAGGCTGTGACCCAGATATTTGGGTTTTAAAAGCCAGTGACAATGGATGCCATTGTTGCAGCCGAAGGGGGGTTTCTGATAGGAACAGGTTAAGGTAAGTTCAGCGCTCTATTTGCTACTTCCCAAGATGGGAAGGAGTAAAGGAAGCATCCCTCGTGAAGGAATCTGACGTAGGGATGAGCAGCTGACCAGAAGTTTCTGCCCCATTCCACTATTCCTTCGAAGTTGTTTCTTGTGGGTTGAGAATCACCACCACCGAGAATTGGATAAGGTGTTCCCTTTTGCACTTAGAACTTTAGCCGACCAATCATGTCCACAAACAATCTGAAACATTCAGACGCTACTTTATATAATTTGAGGTAAGTGTTTCCTATTTTGATTCTTCAGAAACCATTTGGTTGACGTGAATGACATAGAGAGAGAGAGTGAAAGAGAGAGAGAGAGAGAGAGAGATGAAAGAGCAGAAACAACTCAAAAGTACGAAGTAGTGGGCCATGCTGTGGCCTACCGAACATGCCACAATCTCCACCATTTACAAGTAGGTTATCACCAGATGGAGAAATCTGGTAGTACCAAATTGCATAGTTGATCTGATCAATTTTCCAATCCAAGACAATTACCAAATGCCCCAGTTAGCATGAAGCTTTCTAAATGTGCAATTCAACCATACAAAGAATTGCATAGAATGCATTTCAAAAATTTTGAGGATTCAAATATTAGCTTTTATTCCATCATTAGCTTCCTTCAAACCATTAAGGACACACATAATAGCAAAAAGCAATATAAAGTAAAGCATAAAGAAGATATAACTACACAAATAAACAAAGCACTATCATTCCAGAATTTTAAGTAGCAAAACCAAGGATTCTACATACATATATACATGCATATACATTGACTCTAAGTATCAAAATCTACCTGAATTTTCCAACAATCGATTATGCAATAAGTTGCGACAAATAAAAAGCTGCTTTGCTTTCAAAAGGGGTTGCTCATATTGGAGAGAGATGCCAAACCTGAATTTGCAAAACAAACAAGAACTTTCCATAAGGAAAATATAAAAGGAAAAAAAGAATGACGCAAATAATTGAGAGAAAAGGCAACAAACAGCGAAGATATTTCCAGAAGATTCCCAAATCAGAAGGAAGTTGATGCATAATAAATTACTTTAGACTTTCTATACTATTGTGAAATAACAAGTTACCCACCCAGTAAGCTCATTAGTCATCTGATTTAAGCACATACTAAGAGAAGCATACAATTGCTACAAGTAACATATTATGTTGCAAACATGGTCAATAGCAACCTATCAAATGAACTAGAAAGTCTATATTCAATAATGGCGCTTGCTGCTAAATTAAAAACCATTCCATGGAGACAACAACAGTAAACCCTGGACATTAATACATGTTCAACTATGTGCATCATAAAAAAGTGCATTTGTTAGTAATTAATTATGGAAAAACATTATTTCCACAGCCACAACCATGTACAGAATGTTGGAGTGAGTTTCTTTTCTCCATATTTTTTATTTTCCTAAAAGACCTTTTTTTTATGACCAAAATACTCGTGGCCTTATTATAATGTATTTTGCATGTACCTTTTTGGCCAAGTGTTGGGACAGAAACCTATATAATGTTCTAGTCTCCCTCTCACTACCCATGATTCATCTCTCTCTACAAATTTCGAAAATGTCTTGGTCACAAGGGAGCTCCCCATAGCTTTGCAAGGTCACCCTGAGACAAGCCACTACTGGGCCTAATTCCATGCACCAATATCCATTAGTTTTTCTCTCTAGCCTAAGATCTTCGAAGTACTTTTTGTGCATCAAACTTGGCAGATTTCAGCAAGCTTTCTTGCAAGTTATGTCCATTTTTCATGCTTCTTTGGTGGTTGATATATTGGTGAGAAAGTTCCTTTCTTTTCCATTTTCTATATACATGTTATCGATACAAGTTTAGGGGAAAATACTCCAAGGAAGAAGCATACATATATACTAGGGCATGCTGCTGTAATTTAGGAGCTCATTTAGATGCTATTTGCATGCTTGATTTTTTTATTTTTTATTTTTGTGGGTAAGTCAGTGGGGGAAAAGGCCCCCTACCCGATTTTTCATTAATTAGAATAAAAAGGAATTACATTCATCATTCAACGCTAAAATAGGGCAGTTGCGCCAGATCATGGAAAAGTAAAGGAGTGATAAAGTCTGGTGGGCGGTGGCACCATACAATAGCATCGTGCCCAGCAGCTGCTCTCTTGGCTAGAGCATCAGCAACCATATTTGCCTCACGATAGACATGCGCAATGGACCATCGATGGGTTGAAAGTCTAGTGCGCCAATTATCAGCGATCGTATGTAACTGCCCGCCAAGGAGCCCGACATCGGTTCTAATGTCATTCACTAGTAGGGCCGAATCATTTTCTATCTGTATTGGGAAGCAATTTCTCTAATGAGCCTCATGAATGCCTTCTACAAGGGTCAAAAATTCTGTGTGATTATTAGAGGCAAAGCCAAAGTGCTTGGAAAAGGCAGCAATGAAACCTCCAATTGAGTCCTGCATGATCCCACCACCACCTGCTAAACTTGGATTTCCCAAGGAGGCACCATCAATATTGAGCTTGTAACGCCTAGCCTCAGGAAAGGACCATGCCACAGGTATGGGAGAAGCTGATTTCTGCTGACGCCAACATATGTGGAGGTTCCCAATAATGGGCCTTTTAGATAAGTGAAATGACTACCCTTTAGCCTTTGCAAGTGCCTGAACATGTAAGATAATCCAATTCACTAACGGCTCTCTCCTGGTGGATCTGAATTCAAATACTCGCATGTTCCGCTCCCCCCATAGAAACCAAATAGTGGTGAAGAAAATAGACAACCAGATATTAGCCACCATGTGATTTGAACCTAAAAAGTAGCCACCATCTAAAAATATCAGGGCCAGAGATACCAAGGACGAATCGCTTCCCACATCTCCAAGCTAGAGATCGTCATATTCCATGTGCAAAACCACACTAAAACAGAAGGTGAAGAATACTATCATTGTGATTGCTGCAGAATGGGAATAAAGAATCCCGTTGCATGCCATGGTGTTGTAGTAGGGAGGAAGTAAGTAGCCGGTTATGCAAGGCCACCCATGAGGACCATTTCGCCCGTGGGTGGAATTTAGAATACCACAGTGCATGAAATATAGGCTGAGATAAACTCCATTGTCACATAAAATCTCATGCTCCTCTGACTGAAAACAACCCATCAGCAGAAGGGATCCAAACCAAAAAGTCATTTTTAGCTTGTAAAGGAAGAGTACAAGACTTAACCTCCCTCCATATAGTCCTCAAAGCATCAGATATGGGAGTAGGCAAAACCAAAGACTGAGGAGAACCTTCAATAAAGTCAAAAACCGTACTCCCAGCAAGAACGCCCAAATCCTCCTGAGCAGCACCATGCAAATCCGATAGCGACCGACCCGATAACCATAGATCCACTCAGAAATCCACCATCTGACCATTTCCAATATTCTACTGTACATTGTCTTTCAAATGAGATAAACCAAGTAGTATCCCCTTTCAAGCATGAGAACATCCTCTTTTTGCCTCGACCTCCCATATTGAACATTCCTTAAGTGTTTGAAGAACCGGATCCTCCAAGAAAATTTCATCATACCAGAGATATTGAAATCCGCCATATCCCGAACTACCAACCCGCTTTCTGCTAGAGTAAGACATACCGTCCTCCATTTAACCAGGTGAACACCTTTTTTCTCTGCCTCGCGTGCTCACAAAAAGATTCTTTGTAATCTCCCTATCATATTACGGGTCTTCTTCGGAAGAATAAAAGACAATAGCCAAAAGATCGGTGAGGCACTGAGAACTAATTTGAGCAACTGAAGTGTACCTGCATAGGATAGACATAGAGGCTGCCATGACCCAATCTTGCTGAACACCTTGCCCACCAAACCATGGCAATAATTGTGTCTACGATGCCCACGAAACAAAGGAAGGCACAAATAACGCATTGGTAGAGATCCTTCAAGGAACTCTAACTCCCGCAATAGTCTCCCACGACCTCCCCTTGGTGTGCCAAAGAAAAAGACCTTGCTTTTAGAAGAGTTTAGAACTTGACCAGTACCCCTTTCAAACTTAGAGATAAGATCTCTCATGGCGGTGGCAGCAGAAATAGATGCATGCTTGGTTTGTTACTATCAATTGCATAACAATAGATGCATTCCATCTATTTGTAGAAATTTCTAAGTGCATCTATCTACATAGTTTTTAAAGCACATTTTGGTTGCTGAATTTTCAGTTAGTAGCCTTTCCATATCGATCCTAGTAGGTGGTATTGGTATCAGAGCTTTGGTTACTTTGAATGGCTACTACAAAGACTATTCTTTCCGATTTGGTGAAGATAGAGAAGTTAGATGGCTCCAGCATTTCACTTTGGAAAAATAAACTGCTTTTCTTGCTCCATACTATGGAATTGCTATATGTGATTAATGAAGAAAAACCAGCTAAACCTGATGATGATACAACTCTTAGAGATAGGCAAAGGTCTACTAAGTGGAAAAAAGATGATTTCACATGTAGAGGCACCATTCTAATTGCCTTAGTGATAGACTACATAAAGTACTTGAATGTTATGCTCATGCTAAAGATTTGTGGGTTGCTATTGAAACAAGACACACCGATGATAACTATGACAACAAATTCTATAAAAGATATAATATGTATAAGATGGAGGAAAATCAATCGATGCTTGACTATTTTGAGGATATGTACATCATGGCTAACCTCCTAGCTGGTTTTGATATAACATGTTTAAGGTGAAGGAAAATCAATCGGTGCTTGAATATTTTGAGGATATATGCATCATGGCTAACCATCTAGCTGGTTTTCGTGAACCTATAAGTGAACATCAACAAATTATGAAGATTATAGAAAATCTCTCTAACTCATGGAAGTATTTAAAGAAGAACTTGCGACATAATAAGATGTCCATACCTTGGATAATCTAGGAGGACACTTGATGGAAGAAAATTATAGAGCTAATTTGAAGAATGATAGGGATAGAAACCAAGCATATCTAGCAATGGCCAACAAGAATGAGAAGGCCAAATCTAAAAAGAAATTTAAGAAGCCTCCTCAAAAACAAACTTCTTTGAAATTTAAGATATACTATAATTTTAATAAATATGGTCATATTGCCAAATATTACAAGGAACCCAAGAAGACGAATGTTGGACAAGCGAGTGGCACTAAGGATTCTACCTTTGTGGTTGAAGAATCCTTGATGGTGAATTCCCCGGATGAGTGGGTGGAATCAAGAGGTACTCGACACATTTCCAACACCAAGAACAATATGGTAGACTTAAAATAAAAGGGTGACAGTGCTGGAAAGCTTTACATGGGAAACTCGTCCAACATCAACATTCTTGGAGAGGGCACTGTTAGTCTTCCACTTCCAATAGTTTGCACTTTCACTCTTACTGATGTATTGCATGCCCAAGATATGAGGAGGAACTTAGTTTCTCTGTCTAGGATTGATAGGAGTGGAGGTAATGTCTACGTAAAAGATGGAAGAACAATTATTAAGAAAATGATGCTTTTGTTGTAAAAGCCACAATGGTTAGCAATATGTACAAGCTCGATCTTGATAATAAAATGAAGAGGCCATTTGCTTATAATGAGCATTTCAATATTTGGCATAGAAGGCTTAGTCACATTGGTTATGCAAAATTAAACAGAATAATGAAATATTATCCTTCATTTATAAAAGGGAAAATTCAAATGTGAAAGTTGCTTAAAAGGAAAAATGCATAGGCAATCATTTCCTAAGGGTAAAATGGCTCAAAACTTACTTAAAATAATTCATACTAATATTTATGGTAAATTAAATAAAAAAATTAAAAATTCTTAGAAGTCAAAGAGGAGGACAGTATATATCAGATGGGTTTAATCAATTTTGTAGTGAGCATGGGATAATTAGGAAAACTTCCTTAACATATACTCTTAAAAAAATGGCAGGGCCAAGAGAAAGAACCGAACCTTGATTGATGTGGTCAATTGTATGATACAAGAGGCCGATGTAGAATATTAATTTGGGGTGAAGCTATTATGGCAGCAACACATATATTAAATAGAGTCCCTTCTAAAACGACTAATGTAATACCTTTTGAATCGTGGTTTGGAAGAAAATCTAGTCTAAATTATATTAGAATATGGGGCACTATAACACATGTTCATATCCTTACATGAAAAGAGATAGAAACTAGGACCTGAAACTATCAAGTGTATATTTGTTGGGTACTTAGCTAATTCCAAGGGATATATATTTTATAATGAAGAAACTACAGAAATTATGGATAGTAGAGAAGCCCACTTCTTTGAAGACTTTCAAATACTGATAGATAAGCAAGCATGACTACTAGAAGCAAGTCAGCAAGAAGAATCATCAGACCCTAGGACAACTTATATCAGAAGCTCTTCTAAGGCTGATCCGATTCTCAAGTTTTATGAGCCTCGTAGGAGTACTAGGGAAATTAAAAATCTAGTTATTTAGATGATTAGGTTTATTATAATGTATTGAATGAAGTATCTCGAAATTCTAAAGAAGCTCTTAGCTCACATGAAGCAAGTAGTTGGCTGGAAGCTATGACGGATGAATATGAGTCCCTAATGAGCAATAAAACATGCGACATAGTAGATTTACCTTCAGATGGAAAGGCAATTGGTTGCAAGTGGGTATATTCTAAGAAATTGAACTCGAATGGTAATATTGAGAATTATAAAGCTAGGTTAATGGCTCGGGGGTTTAGCCAAAAGGAAGGAATTGATTTCCAAGAAACTTTTTCACCTGTTGCAAGAAAATCTTAATAAGAATAATATAGCAATAGCTAATCATTATGATTTTAATGTTCATCAAATGGATGTAGAAGCCGCATTTTTAAATGCGGAATTGGATGAAGAAATTTACATGACTCATCCTAAAGGCTTTGAATTTCAAGGTCAAGAACATAAAGTATGTAGATTAATTAAATCCTTCGATAAATTAAATCCCTAGATAAGTTAACAATCCTTATATGGTTTGAAGCAGTCTCAAGGCAATGGTATTTAACGTTTACTCAAACACTTAAAGAATATGGATCCAATAATATTACTGTTGATTACTGTGTATACACTTGATACAATGGGGGTGTACATTTGATTTTGATCCTGTATGTGAATGATATAATTATAACTGGGAGTGATGCAAAAGCAATTCATGATAGTAAAGATTGGTTATCCTCCAAATTTGATATGAAAGACATGGGACATGTTGATAATATCTTAGGAATTAGAGTAACTAGATACAAAAATAAAATAATGTTACTTCTTAATCAAGATTAGTACACTCTTAAAATATTAAAGAAATTTAGTATGGTGGACTCTAAACCTCTGGCCACCCTGATTGACAAAAATTGTAAAGTATCTAAAGAAATGTGCCCTAAAGGTGAAAAAAAAGCCTTATGCACAAGCTGTTAGTTCTCTTAATTATTTTATGAATTGTGTTAGACCCGGTATAGCTTATGCAGTGAGGGTTATTAGTCGATATATGGCTAACCCTGCAATTGAACATTGGAAATTGGTAAAAAAGGTATTTAGATATCTAAAGAGGATACGTAATTATGGTATACGTTATGGGACGAAGGATCTAATCCTAAAAGGTTATAGTGCTGCAAATTTAGGAGAGATTCATGATTATAGATCCACATCAGGATAAGTGTTTGCCTTTGGTGGGGCATGTATATCTTGAGGAAGCAAAAAGCAAAAATGTAACTCAAACTCCACTATGGAAGCATAATATATTGCTGGATATAATGCTTCAAAAGAAGTGATATTCTTAAGGCACTTTCTTAGTGAAATGCCACTAGTCAAGTTTGATCACGCACCCACAATAATTTATTGTAATAATCAAGCAATAATAGCCATTTCTAAACACCCAACGTATCATTGCAAGTCAAAACATATTAAGAAAAAAGTATCACTCTATAAGAGAACATATAGAAAACAAAGAAGTAGAAGATAGTTATCTTCCTACTAAATTGACGATTGCTGATCCACTAATGAAGGGTACTCATGTGGACCCATTTGCAAGAAGTGTACTTGCCATGGGACACAGACGGATAGATGAGTCACAATGGTATTAACCTTAGTGGCATATTGACGCTTGAGTAGCATATTGGAGCTTTAGTGGATGTTATATAATTCATTTGTTTATATAGTATCATGGATAACCTTTGTGGCTGCATTAACCCTTAAACGATCGTGTTATTACCTGCCTTCGTGGCATTCTGATTCTTTGACTTGATGATGCATGTGTGGCATTTCGGATTTTATCTCGATGATGGCTGTGTGGCATGAGCATCTTAGTGATGCAACGGTATCTTAGTGATACAATGGTTTCTTTGTGATTCAGTAGTGTGGCTGATGTTCTGAAAGCATTTATGGGTGATTGCACCTTCGTGGTTCACCCTTGTGATTTGCAAGTTTGGATATTTCAATAACTGAGGATCTCTTAGTGAGATGCATATCTTTGTGGGATTATATGGAAACTCATTGTACCAATAGTAGATGCATGCCACTTATTTATAGAAATTTCTAAGTGAATCTATCTAGATAGATTTTAAAGCGCATTTTGGTTGCTGATTTTTCTTTTAGTAGCCTTTCCATATCGATCCTAGCACAAAAATAATTTTATGATATACTATCTACATGTTCACAACAGTTCTCTTTCACGAAACTTTGCAATAAATAGGAAACAAAGGAAACTTTCACTTACTTTCCCTTGTAGTATTCAGCATAAGTTATATCCTTGTAACTCTCCATTCGGCTGGTTGCACTCACTCCATGAAGAATTTCAGTAACAAAGAAGAACAATTTAGTACGTGGAGTAAAAACTAAGCTCTTTGTTATATAATTTACATTAATAGGTCCATCAATTAATTCTAGCGTCTCTCCAACATGAAGCTGTGTGTTCTCAATGATATCCCTTGAAGCTCTGAAAGCTGGTGAAGATAGACAGTCCCTTATTGTCGTCCAATCAATGGTGAATCTGTCCTCAGATAATAGTTTCTCCAAAGGAAGCAGTAGGTAAAAGGTTGATGAGGTCAGTGGGGGCTCATCTTTCTTTCCCAGTGGAATATAATCAAGCATAAACTCTGTCCTGTCCAGGAGAATCTTGAGATACATTTCCTGGAAATTCCTTGCATCAATAATCTGTAAGAGTAGATCTGTTAGAGATAATGTATATAATGGGTATCCTGATGGAAAGAGACAAAATGAGTTGCTATCTCAACCAGTGAGGTACCTGTCTTTCATGAAATTCAACTACTCCTGAATGCACAAGACTAGCCTTTACAATTCTTCCATGAGCAAGATGTAGATCAAGTTGCATAGTCTCAGCTTCTTCAGGCAGGCGCAAAGGTGCAAAAAGACCAAATGTTTTGTAGTCCCTATCTTCGGGGACTGGAACGAACTGTACAAGATAGAAATTGAAAGTAGCATGATGTTCATTAACCAACGGTGTTCTAAGTGCAGCCGGAACTAACATCTCATGAAGCTCACCACGAGAAATTTCATCTGTACAGGGAAAGAATGTGACTGCATGATATGGATGCTAAGCAGATATAGATGAAAGATTCATGTAGTTAGCGTGTATATCAGATACTTATATACAACTATGAACTAATTGACAAAATGAAGAAACAGAGGACTCCACAGGAAACCTTCAGAGTTCTTCAATCCAGAAGTCTGAAGATATGAGCTTTCTTTTACTTCATCCAGTTGATGTGGCAAAAGATAGTCCGTCAGAGCACCCATTTTATGCAATTCAATGCATGCTTTCAGGCATGCTGCTCTCTTAGCATCTTCTCTCGATGGACAGGGTGCACTATCTATAGAGTGACAGGGAGCACTGGGAGGAAGGACAACTCGACAAATGACACCCCTATTGTCATCATTATAATAGAAGTGCGGTACTGAAGTGAAATACCTACAAGACAAACCCCAACTTCAACTTTTACCATACATTTCACATAAACTGAACTGCTTTTGTAAAACTGCATGCGAATTACATGAAAGAGACTAAAAGAACATACTCGTCGTGCAATAGTCTTGAACAGTAATGATAAATCAAAGAAACACTACATGCGGTACTAATGGATGCACCAGTGCTTTCAACTTTAAATGTTGTATCCTCAGTATCGGCAAAAGCGTCTTCTGATGATCTTTTTATTATTTCTTGGTTCATATGCTCCTCGCCCGCAATGAAATGATTAATCAAGTTCATCTGAGCATCATTTCCACTGTGGATTGAAACAGTAGAGATGATAAAGTACAATTTACAAGTAAAAGCTACAAAAGGAAAGCAAATTATAGAACAGATGAGTTGGTACAAACAACACCTCTCAACCAAAAATGCATATTCCGATTGTTGCATGCGTGCACGGCCTCTAGACTGTATAAAACTGGCAACAGTTTCTGGCATATCATAGCGAACAACAAGACAACATGTCTGAATATCAAGCCCCTCCTCAGCCACATTGGTTGCTATCAGCAGATTTATCTAACAAAACCGAAGGCAAATATCATTTCAACAACTTCATAAAGAAAGTGATCTCTGATTCTTTGCGACATAGAAACAACATACATTAAAGAGATCAATTTTTATGCTTAACATAATTAAGCACCTATTAACCGTCAACCTTCGTCAAATATGTGTTTTCCGTTTTCAAATATATATAAAGTCCTTCCAAGCATATGGATAAATATCTATTTTACATATTAAGTGAAAAGAGGACCCATCTTATTCTTGTTACAAGTGTCCTTTTGAATGTCAATTTTTCCCTATTGATATTTACTTTCAACCTATTTTGACCTATTAGTTGAGATAAGGTTCTACTGATGATGATGATGACCCATTTTGACCTATTATTCTTTGTTTTTTTCCCCATTGTTCTACTTTATCTAATTAACGATATTCTCTCTCTCTCTCTCTCTCTCTCTCTCTCTCTCTATAAATATATATATATATAGGAAAAACCTAAAAAACGGCTATAAGCAAAACGCTACAATGTTTCGCCACCGCCACGGATTTGCTATGCCTGTGGCAGTTTATTGAACGGACCCACAACGGATGGCGCCAAGCCGTCCGTTACGGTTCTGCGAAATTTTTTTGACCGCCATAGGCATGGTATGTCCGTGACAGTACCGCTGCAGACATAGTCGAAAAACACACATCGCCCAATTTTCAGATGGTGATGAGCCTATGGGAGAAAATACTGTACATTTTCGTCCATAGGGGTTGCGTAGATGCTTCCATATAGGAAAAACCTAAAAAATGCCTATAGGCGAAATGCTACAGTGTTTCACCACTTTATTGAACGGACCCGCAACGGCTTAAAGTTTTTGACCCCTTTTTGACTAAAGATGTCGGTGGCAGATGCTCCATGTGAAGATGTCAGTGAAAAAGGTATAAATAGTGCTTTGAGCTGACCGAAATGTATGAATAGTAAAAGGAATGAATAGTAAAAGGAGGTTACTGTTTTGTCGGTAAACTATTCTGAGGACTCGTGTGCTATGTAGAGTGCAGTCGATCCGTCCTCTATTATGTGTTGTCCTATTGTGAGATTCCATAGTCCATGTCCTCATTTTCCCATACATAAGTTTCTTCATTTTGGGTTGATGTTGATATGGCTTATTCATCCTCATCGAATATTTGCAGCAACTTTTTCTTGAGTTCTTCTTTGGTTGCTCTGGGATATTGCTGACGAATTTTATTTAAGTAATCAACCATATCCATATCTGTATTGGGAGGTGGAGATGGTACTTTCTTCATCTTTATCTTATCAGGATTTAAAGAGTCATTCTCATAAACATCCCACCATTTTATATATATTTGTATAATCATCAGATAAATGATATGACCATTTCATGATCGAAGGGATCTGGTATAAGGCCATGAAGTACATATGGAGATCTATTTTTGAACTGCTATCATTATAGTCCATGCATTTTCTTTGAGAAGCTTGCATATTGGGTGGTAGTATATCCGTTCCGGAACCCCATAATTGAAACCAATTTTTGAACCAGTTTGGGAATTCCCCTATTATTGGTATTTTAATTTGTAGAAACAATTTATGAGAATTCATATCATTTTGAAAGGCAAACACCTCATGCCATGCTTTGATATATTCAAAATAAACGTAGTATTTATTATTGAAACCTTCAGTTTGTAATTTCCTAGGTTTCAGGGGGTCAAAACCCCACTCTTTATATGAAATTATTTTTCGTATTTGGAATTTAGAATACGCAATCGTATTAGTATTATTTTTATAGAAATGGACCAGAGTTATTGATCCTGTTTCAATAAGAATGGTTTCATACCATTCTCTATTCCTTTCTCCATTATTAGGATGTAGATGATTTCTCAAGTATATTGCAGCTATTTCACCGGGATCTTTATCCTTGTGGTCATCTTATATTATGTAGTTATGAAGGAGGTTTCTATATAAAAATAAAAAATATACTAATAGGACAGGACCTAATAAAACCTCTATCAAAGAGAAATTTTATAAAAAAAATTCCCCTAAAAATGCCTCTTTTAGAAATAAGGGAAAAAGGAGGATTCCAGTTTGCTAAACTGTGGCAAAGTAGGACATTATAAAAATAAATGTAGAGTCAAGAGAAAGATAAATTCCCTACAACTAGATAATAATATCAAAGAACAACTGTTTAATATATTACAAATTGATGAGGAGTCTTCTGAAAGTTCTTCTGATTCTGATATGGAAATGCTAACAGGAGAAATTAAAGATGAAGATTTAATCTTTAGCAGTTCCAACTCTGATTATAATAATCATAATCCCAATACTACATGCTTTTGTAATACCCTCACTAAGGAAGAGAATTTAATTATAGACTTGATTGATAAAATAACTGATCCTGAAACTAAGCGAGAAGCTTTAGTCCAATATATAAATATGGCTAAGACAAATAATAAACCTTCTACTCCTCTTGTACGTAGTAGAGAAGACTAAAGTTTTCCTTAAAAGAGTGGAAAACAAAAAATCATGAATTTAGTATAGGGATTAAAAATATCATTCATAATATTTTGAAACTCTGAAGGGGCACTTTTTAGACAAAAGGGCATAACATTCCACTCATATTGCCCAAAGGGGACATTAAAAGCAGTTTTATATCGATCTTTTTCAGCAATCTGGACCTGCCAATATCCCGACTTTAGATCGAATTTTGAGAAAATACAAACATTAACAAGTTTATCCAAAAGATCTCTCTTATTAGGAATAGGATATCTTATCCATCTTAGAGCTTTATTGAGGGGCTTATAATTTATAACCAATCTAGGTGCACCCCATTCTTTGAATGTGATGCTTCAAAAAAAGGATTGGGAGGAATTTTAAAACAGCAGAATTCAAATAAAGAACAATTGGTTTGTTTTACTTCTAAAGCTTGGAATCCGACCCAACAAAATTATTCTACTGTTAAGAAGGAAATCCTAGCCATTGTCCACTGTGTGACAAAATTTCAAAGTGATCTACTCAATCAAAAATTCCTAATTCGTACCGACTATAAAGCTGCAAACGATGTACTCTACAAAGATGTAAAAAATCTTGTTTCAAAACAGATCTTTGCTCGATGGCAAGGTATTCTCTCCTCCTTTGAATTTGACATTGAACATATCAAAGGCACTACTAATTATCTTCCTGACTTTTTGACCCGAGAATTTTTGCAGGGAGGGGCAGGAGGAGTCTACCAAAAAAGGGAATTATGGAGAAGGTTATTTCACCGGGATCTTTATCCTTATAATGATATGGAAAGTTTAATATATTACATTATATCAGGGAATTTGGTCAAGATATAATAAATAATGACAGTGATGTTGTTAATACTCTTATATATACGATTACTCTCCACTTTGTAGAAAGTACTGCTTTGCTCTCTAATTTGAGATGCCCAACTTTATCTCATTACAAGTGGTATAAAGACGTGTTTTTCTCTAGATTCCTTTCTAGAGAAGATAGTAAATCAGACCATTGGAAAGAACAATTTATTGCCGGTCTACTTCATCTTTTTGCCGAAAAAGTCAAGATGCGACTAAAAAATAAACATAGAGGAATTATTTCATACTCCTTATACACTCTAGGGGAATTATCTGCAGAAATATGTACTGAAGACTGTACAGATCTGAAATTAAAAAGACCGTTAGGAGAACAAAGAATGACTGGAAGAAGAGAATTAGGAGATTTTTGTAAACAATTTGGGTAAAATACCCTACCTTCTTCCAAAGACCAGGGCAAGAAAAGGTATGAAATTAAAAAATATACCAATCGGACAGGACCTAATAAAACCTCTATCAAAGAGAAATTTTCTATAAAAATTTCCCCTAAAAATGCCTCTTTTATAAATAAGGAAAAAAAGAGGATTCCAGTTTGCTATAACTGTGGCAAAGTAGGACATTATAACAATAAATATAGACTCAAGAGAAAGATAAATTCCCTACAACTAGATAACAATATTAAAGAACAACTGTTTAATATATTACAAATTGATGAGGAGTCTTCTGAAAGTTCTTCTGATTCTGATATGGAAATGCTAACAGGAGAAATTTGAGATGAAGATTTAATCTTTAACAGTTCCGACTCTGTTTATAATAATGATAATCCCGATACTACATGCTTTTCTAATACCCTCACTAAGGAAGAGAATTTAATTATAGACTTAATTGATAAAATAACTGATCCTGAAACTAAGTGAGAAGCTTTAGTCCAAATAATAAACCTTCTACTCCTCTTATACGTACTAGAGAAGACTATAGTTTTGCTGATATCCTTAAAAGAGTAGAAAACGAAAAGGATTATAATAAAGAGCCTTCTCTTTCTGAGCTAAGACATGAGATAAATGAGGTTCGTAATGAACTAATAAGTTTAAAAAATAGAGTCCAGATTATAGAATTAGTTTCTAACCCTTTAGAAGATAACCCTATCAATGAACATACTGATGATGAAATAGAATTAAATGATATTATAAAAATTTATAAAAATCTTCTGCCCCCCGAGGCAAAAAATACTCTTCCTAAGGTAATGAACCAGAATCTTCTGATATGAATGCAATACAAGATTGTAATTATGTTTAGCCTTCTTGATAGAGTAATCACTCAAAAATGGTTTACCATAGTAAAACTAGTTGTTCAAAAAGAATATAGCTTTCAAACTACTGCTCTATGAGATTCAAGAGCAGATTTAAATTGTATAAATGAAGGACTTGTCCCGACTAAATATTTTAGTAAGACAACACAAGTCTTCAATACGGCAGATGGCAGTAAAATGATTATAAATTTTAAACTTTTTGATGCCGCAGTCTGTAATAATGGCAACTGCTTTGAATTCCCTTTTATTATGGTTAAAGGATTAAGCCAATCTGTAATCCTAGAAACTCAATTTTTAAAGATGCTTTATCCAATAAAGATTGATAGTACTGGAATTGAAGCTAATATTGAAGGACATGATGTAAAATTCAATTTTATTGAAAAACCCAAAATTCGAG